CGACAATCGGGCTAATCGCAGTGAATTTGTTCTGCAGCTGTTTCATAATCACTCACTGATATGGGACAAAAATTTACAACACGGAAAGAAAAAGTTGAGAAATCAGAAACTGTGAACATAAAAAGTATATACCAATCATCTAATCATCTAATTTCACTCAAAAACACTATAAACAAAGAGAAAAAAAAGCAGCTACACTCACTCAGCGTAATATATAACAATCAATACAGTGAGGTTTTCTTCATGATAGCACAAAAGTCTGCTTCACAAACGTTACCACTGCCACGAGTATCGGCTTCTGTAATCATTTCCTGAAAAAAAATGACTCAAAAATTAATAAAATGTGATCAAATTCAATGCTAAAGAGATGCTATACTCAACTAATGAAATCGAGAAGTAATATCAAATTTTCCAGCGAGGGATACGTAGCTTCTAAAAAACATGAGGCTTGTTTGGAGTTCTTTAACCAGAATGATGCCTCCTTATTCCCAACTAAGTCCCAGTCCCTTTAAAAATTGCTTTTTTTTTGGAAGAGGAGGGGGAACTGAGGGTGCATACCCGTAGTTGATCATCGGGGATGTTTTCACCCAGCTCCTTTGCAACTTTTCGCAAATCTTCAATTGTTATGAAGCCCTTCGATTCGGAATCGAATAATTCGAACGCAGCACGCATTTCGTTGACACTGTTACGTTCGTCCAATTTCTCACTTAATAATTCACTCAATTCCTCGAAAGTCACTGTGTCTGAAATGGAATTTTGAATGCTGGACAAATGAATTCACGAAAAAGGTAATTTTTTTATGATGATCTTAAAAATTACTTATTTAGAAGTACCAAACTACCAGAATTTGCGCTCCTGCCTGTTCGCTACGTGAACTTTGTGGACCAAAAAACAGAGGAGTCTGGAAATTGTTCAGGATTCCCATGAGCAACACCGTTGCCGATGGCTGAACCAAAGATTGTACTTCACCAAAACACAGTGAGAATTGCCATCTTATATTACGTAACTCAGTCCTGCTCATGCGAGGTGAATTGAATTTTCTCATAGTTCTCTTGGAAGGCCTAATGGGGTCAGTGAATACTGAATTTGAGACAGTTTTAAGGAAAATAAATAAAACGAAATGATTTCATGCCTGGCACTTTAGAAAGAAAGCAGACCTGGCGTTTCTTTTCGCTGCTCTTTAGTTTCCGCAATTTTTGCTACTAGCGCCTGTATTTCATCATTTCTCGGTTCAAAGCCAAGCGACCGCAAAACAGTCTAAAACAGGAAGCAATAAAGACAACCACTTGCAGGAGGGCAAACAAGGAAAAATCCGAGACTTAGTCTTAGGCAGAATGTAAGCTGGCAAAAACGTGTGAGAAGTAAATCATCTGCCTGAATAAAGTCTGGAACGGATAAAGAACTTTTTTTGCGCTGCCTGAAGCAGGAACCATGAGCAGGCACAGATCCCTTGAACGACGCATTCAGTGCACAATTGGTGCACTGTAACGTGTTACAGTTTGTTTTGGTGGAAAGCACTTCAGAATCAAATTCAGCCTCCAGTCGTACGTGGTTCTCATGTATGGTCCCGTGAAATTTTTTGGTGGGAACATGGCTAACTTGGGAACTGGCAAAGCTGGGAGGCTGAAATTTGCATTAAAAAAATGCCATTTCGCACTTGCACATTTCGCAAAGCATTCGAATTTTTTGCAAAGCGCTAAACTGCAATCGCGCTCAGCTGCTAACTGAACAGTACATCTGCTATGACGGAATCGCAGGAAAAGAATACTGCTGAAGTGAAGAATACCGGTTTTATTTAATTTTCATTCTCTTATGCTGCTGTATTATTTTTTGTTTTTTTACCATTGCTTATAATAACCTGATTTTAGTTCACGAGTTATCACAAACCTCCTAATGAGTTCTGACTTACATCGCCTGGTGGTCAGCCTGCTGACCACCGTCTTATCTCTGAGGGAAGCAAGCACGAAGGGCCGGGGAGGCGGGGGGAGGAGGGAGCGGGGGAAAAGGCAGTTTAACGTTTCTTTCCGACAGAAGCAACTGGAATAGGCTTTAGCCGGTGTCGCATTGATGAATGAAAATTTGAAGCGGAGACTTTCAATCCCCTAAAAATCTTATTCCCTTTAAGAAGGGGAAAATTTAAAGGAAACAAAATTTTGAATGAATCAAAAGTTTTCGAAATTTTTTATCGTTTTCCTATTGAATTGACTGTCATTCAAAAGGACCGTATTAAGAATTTTCCAAATCGAAACAGCATCAATTCGCTGTGCGAAACAATCAATGAAACTCATCTATGTTGCCTACAAAACCACAGGCTTCACATCTGTGGTTAATTAGAATGTTTTTTGAAATAAACAAAAGGGGAGGATTTTGATAACCTTTAAATTCTTGACAGGGACCACGCCCGTCTCGTTGGGATCACATTTCGAGAACGCTTCCCGAAGCTCGCGCCGTGAGAATTCACTCATTGCCTTCTTGGCTGCACCCACTGCTTCAGAGCTGTTCGCTTCCGCCATGCACCTATTCCCCACCTAAAAAGTAACAAGTTATGAAAGGCATGGAATGTCGGCTTTTTCTAATTTTTCGGTACCACATAATGAAGGGGAAAAGTCAATTTTGTTGCCGCTACTTCTCGCCAAACGCCAAATTCCCAAGTCAGGCAAATCAATGGGAATATGGACATACGGGAAAATAAAGAAAACAAAAAACACAAAACGGCGCAAAACACCAGCATCATTCGAAACAAAGGCCAGTCAACCGCAAAATATCGGCAATTGCTAAAACTCGGCTCGGCTCCAGTAAAACACACCCGTCTCCAGCACTAGGGTTACGTCTTTCTCCGGGTGCCGGGGACGTTGGGTGGCGTTTCGCCAGGCGCTGGGTAAAGCTGGTCAGTGAGGAGAGTAGACCGTGTGGTGCTGGTCTGAACCGCAGAGAGAAGTGTCAAGGGAAGTGCAGAAGCTTGGCCCGGCCACGTGACATTGTGGTAACGGTAAGAAATGTATACGACTTAATGGACTGAAACATTTCTTGCCTATAATAAAACTATAATAAAAATTTTTTATATACCCCTTATCTATCTTAATATCCTTTTCTTTTCATTATTTTCTTTTAACCTTTAATATGCTTGTTTTTGTGCACAGTGTACTCGTTTCTGGCTACATTTGCACCTCTGTGTTTTTTCCCTTGAAATACCACAGAAGCAAAGCCCGATCCCACCCCATCCATCCATCCATCAGCCAGCCTCCCCCGCCTTTTTTGTTCCTACACTTTTGTCCTTGACATTCGTAAAAAGCGGTACAATGGTTCTCAGCTTTTATCGAAGCCAGTGAAGGAATTCTTTCCTTATTGCTGAAGGCAACAGTGTGGGACCGTATGTGGAATTTTTGTATAAATCCAATCAAACTTATTCGCCCCCAGTATAGGCTTTGTAAGTAGAGAAGTCTCTTGCTGAAGATGAGTTTTTAAAGATCAGCTCCCACTCGTACAGGCCCTTGCTTCAGTTCACAGGTTCCGACTTTCTCTTCGCTTTTATTCATCCACTCAGATTTGCTTTAATTTACTTTTCGTTGTAGTGCTGTTTTAGCTCTCTCTCGCTTTACTGCTTTCTTCAGTTATCGCCTCGAATTCCTCATTATTACCCTTGTAACTCTTCTTTATTTCGTCCTTAATTCCTGCCTAAAGCGGCATCTAGAGCAACCAGTATCCACTCCCCCCCCCCCTCCTCCCCTCAACCACGTTTTCTATCCATCAAACACTGAATACCATTAGGGGGAAGGGGCGAGAGTGTGCGGTAGTGAGGGGGAAGGGGGGGAGGGGCGAGAGGGTGCGGGAGGGAGGGGACTCACTGGCAAAATGCGAAGCAATTCGGCGAGCAACACCTAAAATAGCATTAGCAGAGAAAGGAGGGTGCCTCACAGTGGCGGCTGAGCGGAATAGTTTCGGTATGCTCTCCCTTGGCGCTGTGTGGTCCGTGGCTTTGTTTTTGAAGGTCTCCATTGGGCACTTTGGCAAGTATTGTGGCTTGTTGTGCCTTTGTTAGTGCCGTGGGGAGCGGGAGGGGGAGAGGCTTGTTGCAGCGTGACTCCTGGTTCTTTCGGGGCGTCCGTTGTTCTTATTTTCTTTGGGGTGCTGGGCTGCTGAATTATCGTGCGGCAGCCCGCGATGCTGCCCTTGGTATCTTCCAACTGTTTTCAGCGTTTGCGGTTTGTCTAACCAGCTTCATTAATGGCTTTTCTCCTTTTCTCAGCGTATGTTTCTATCTGTATCTGGGATGGTCCCGTTCGGTTTCTGTATCTCGGCAGTTGCTTTGGCTTACAAGTGTGTCTGTATCCAGGAGGAGCGTTGTGTTGTGACGGCGGGTGGGGAGTGGTATGCAGGGAGGGCAGTTCTGTTGATTGTGAATGAAGGCGCATTGCAGTTCACGAGTGGTATTATTTGCGCACAGTGCACAGTTCGATTTATCTATGCGTGCTTGCTTTTTTAAACATACAGCTTTCACATGACTTCTTTTAAATCCGACCTTGACTTTTCTTAAAAAAATATTCATCGCAACAATCTGGACCCCTTTTTTTAGTTTATTTTTTATTCTCCTTTCTTTAATCCGAATTTTTACGAACATCTGGGTAACGCTGTGGCTACGGGGCTGGTATTCCAGCCCCGCCTTCCTTTTCCTCACAGGACCCTTCAGGCCCGTACTGCCTTTTTGTAGTGATTAATATCCACTGAACGCGTTATTGGTTGTGCAATTTTGTGTTTCGATAGAAGTCATTTTCTGCTAATTGCAGAGAGCGAGGGGTGAAAATGTACGAGGAAGAAGTGGAGGAGGTTCACTATGAGGAAGACGAAGAAATTTCATCGGAGCAGTGGCAGGTCTGGTTTGTTCTTATCACTTAAATCGGCCCGCCAGTTGGGCAGCCAATCTCTCAACGATTAGTTTTGATAATAAATTGGCGCCGTGCCAGCAAGTCGCACTGGCCATCAGATTGCTTCCAAAAAGCTTTCCGAAGAGGCATCTGCTGCTACTCGGACTCTCTTCGATCGTTTTCGTTTCTAGTATTGGAGTGGGGTTTTTTTTTTAACTCCACGAATTTTTGTAGGAGGCGTGCTGGGTTGTCATCTCGGCATATTTCGATGAAAAAGGCCTCGTACGCCAGCAGCTGGACAGTTTCGATGAATTCATCCAAATGAACGTGCAACGAATCGTTGAGGATTCGCCACCGGTTGAGCTACAGTCCGAAGTGCAACACTTTTCCGGTAAACAGAACTTCTCTTTAATCTCACGCTGTCTGTCACTGTAAACGCCAGTTAGCCATCATTTGCACAGCACCTCCCTTAAATTGCTTTCCCCTTTATTCTTTTACCGAAAAAGTTGCATTCTTTTACCAAAAGTTTACAAAAAGAAGCAAAAATGGTGGAATATTTGCTACATGTTAGTTTTTCTTTCCCTTCACTGCAACATTAACCTTCTATAGTGTTCTCTAAGAGTCATCTTCATTCCTCTCCTTTCCTTCTTCATCTTCCTCCAGTAATCAACATGTTCCTCTTAACATGGCGAAATGAGGAGGCACTGTTTTTGCATCGATTCATTCTCTGTGAAAACAGACACTCGGAAATAGATATGGAATGGTAGTAAGCGTCAAAAACAGCAGCTCGCTGTGGAGAATTTGGGTTGCTTCTGTGTTTACAGCTCAGGGATGAAACACAGACAGGCTATCAAGTCACTGCACACATACAGGCTTGCTTATTTGGAAGATCTAAATGTCACTTCCAGTTTTTCACATTAATTGTCAAAATTCGATTGTGTTTCTCTCCACGCTGTTTGGCCAATAACGCCAAACAAACTGCATATGCTAGCACATAGAAGATTTCAGGCTCCAGTTCTCTTCCAGTCTCTTTACCAGGAATATTCTCCCCTCTTTGTGTCTTTAAAATTCCTATAACCCTTACATATGGAATGCCTGGGTCGGCTCTTAATTCACGGAAGAAGCAGTTACTTCGTGTGTGGGGTCTTGTGTTTTATTGGTGTTGCTGAGATGTGAAAAATGCACATGTCGGGAGCAGCTGCGCCAGGCGATCTGTATCTGTTTGGATCCTGGCCGCGTTTCTGTCGATAGTGCTCAGTGATCGGCGATGTCCGGTGGTCAGCATATCCTGCCTAGCTCTCCTCCATGCTACTTATGTGATGAGGTGTCTGACTGCTTGTGTGATAATTTAAAAAAAAACACTCTGGACATCTCCTTCTCTCCCTCTTACAGTCACAAGGTTGACCAGTTTTTGCGATGCTTTCAAAACAGAGCTTTCCTGTCTCTCTCTCTCTCTATTTCTGACTTGATATCCCAAGGAAGTGGCTTAGATTTTGATTGTTCGCCGCCCAGATTGTATGATATCACGACAAATAGCGTCTTCTGTTATGCTGATGCCACTGTTTGAAACGCCTCATGGTTCATTTTCGCAGACAAACTGTCCTGAGCACCCTTATTAAATATTTTTTAAAGGAATGATTATCAACAGTTTTTCTCAATAATTATTGTTAAAATGGCATTGCAAGATTGTTTTCAATTACCGTCCCAGTACGAAGACCGCTGGGACTATCAGTGTAGGATTTCCATATTATTGATGTTACCAGAAGCTTATCCACACAGACGCGGCACAATGTCTTCTCGACATGCTTGAAGCTGCCAGTATTGTACCTCGTCCTGCCTCAATCTTGCCTAGACTGTTGTCACTCACGCACTACCATGAGGTGTCTGGGCTAGAATTTTCGCGGGAGACCGTCTTTATGTTTCGAAGAAAGTGAAGTGTGGAGGAGGTTCTGATTTTCGGTTATTTTGCAGGAGATTTGGAAAATCCGATCAAGTTTGCATTAAAATTTGACCAGATCTATCTGTCCAAACCAACTCATTGGGAGAAAGACGGTGCACCGACACCGATGATGCCAAATGAGGTAAGTGTCTGAATGGTAGTCTTTTACGGGTATTTCCCTGTTTTAACTTGAGTATCCTGCGAACTCGAATTTAAGGCCCGTTTACGGAATCTGACATATTCTTCTCCGTTGTACATTGATATCACGAAGACGATGTCCCGTGACGGTGAAGAACCAAAGGAAACGAAATATGAAAAAGTATTTGTTGGAAAAATCCCGATAATGTTAAGGTACCCGTTGGCTTACTTTCTTCTGACCTTTGTTTTGCCTTCATTAGCTTAGTGATAGACATCACTGCTCTCGTACAGAAGATCACGAGCTCGGCTTTGCTAGTCACGCGACTCTTCAGTCATTTCGGTAATAAATTGGCTCTGGTGCATGTCAGAAAGCCAAACTGCCGGTTAATCATTGGCAGCCTTGCCAGCAGACATGTGATACAATTACTACAAAAAGGCAGTACGGGCCTCAAAGGCCCTGTGAGGAAAAGGGG